TCAGCCTATGAAACAGGAGGCCACGGTTTGATTCCTGGTCAAGGCACACGCCTGGGCTACAGGCTTGATCCCCAGGGGGGAGCGTGCAGGAAGCAGCCAATCAATGATTCTCCCTCATCAGTGATGTTTTTCTCTCTCCCTCTCCCTTCCTCTCTGAAACCAATAAAAATATATAAATGTGTGGGAGGGGGGACCTAACAGGGCCGATTCTGACGAGCTGAAGTGGCTGAAGCGAGGGGATCAGGGAGACTATGGCGGAAGGTGAGGCAGGAGAGGGGGGAGGTGAGGTGGAGGCAGGAGAGGTGGAAGGTGAGGGCGGAGAGGGGGGAGGTGAGCCGATGAGCGTCATGAAAGCAGGAGGCAAGCGGAGCAGCATTCTCAGGGGGCATGTGGGGCTCCCCTGCTCCACAGGATCCCCTAGAACCGGTTTGCCGACCACTGACCTAGAACTAGGATCTGCTCCCTGGTGGCAGCTCCTGGACCAGCTGAGTCTAGTCAAGGCCCAATGTGGGGGACACACTTTTTAGCCCCAACACACGGCGAGAGCTGGGTGATTCTTAGCTTGACTTCCCTCACCTAATGGAGGTCCGGAACTCAAAGTCCTCTGTTAGGCTGCCTTTGGGGGGAAACCTAAACAAACACCTGCCTGGACCCACAGCTCCTCGCTGCCCTCTGGCCTTGGTGAATTCTTTCCACCCACGAGGGGGCCTGAAACCCAGACATGGCTGGATTTTCTCAAAACCATGTGGCCCTGAGTCTCAGCATTCCCCCCGGAGCAGCCCAGTAGGGATGCGCAACTCCGGGGCCTCGAACACTGTTCCCAGCGCCCCAGTGTGGTCTGGGGTGTGGAGTGATGTAGTCACAACCTCCCTCCCCGTTCTTCCCAGGCCCTGGGGCCTGTGCTGTCAGGGCCTGGAGGAGTGGTCGGGCGGCCCTGCATCTGAGAAGTGATGGGTTCAACGTTACCCGGGACCGGGGTGGCGGGGTCCCCAGCTCCTAAACTGGATGCCAGGCTGCTCATTTGAGATGCAGACCCCGGGCTCATCCTGACCAAGGGCCAGGGGTCCGCACTCTGAGGGAGCCCAGCGTGGCTCCCAGGCTGGTGTCAGACCTTCTCTGGGGCTGCCCTGCCCGGGAATCAGACACCCATCCTGGGCCCAGCTCAGAACTGCAAATGTCGGCCACAGTCCACCTTCCCTCCTCCCTCTCCTCCCTCACCTCTGACCTCTCCTCCCTCTGCCTCACCCACCCCCCCTGGCACCCCCACTGCTCCGTGCCCGATAAATGGGGGTGTGACAGAAGGAACAGCCCTTTCTCTGGAACACCCTGTGTCTGGTGGGAGCAGGGCAGGCAGAGGAGCAGCTTTCAGACCAGGAAAGCTGCAGGGCGAGAAGAGAGTCCGAGGCTGGGGCGGTCCCCAGGCCCTGCCCACCCTGGAGGAGGGTGTGGGAAACCGGGGCTCCAACACCCCTACTACACACTGGACCCACCTTTCTTTCTTTTTTAAAAAAATGTTTTTATTGATTTTAGAGGGAGAGGAAGGAAGAGGGAGGGAAACATGGACAGGCCACTTCCAGCACACCCTCTCCTGGGGATAGCGCCTGACAGGGCATCGAACCCGTGACCACGGCGCATGGAACGGCGTTCAGCCAACTGAGCCACCCGGGCCAGGGCCGGACCCGCCTTCCTGGAGGCAGTAAAACTTTCCAAAAGCTTTAAAAATTCATACCTTTTGATCCTGAAATGCTACTTCTTGGAATTTTTCCTAAGAAAATAATAAAAGATTTACATAAAAATCTGTTTGTCGCATTTATTTATAATTATTTAAAAAAGTGAAAATGACAGAACTGCCTCTGTCCTATGGTTTTCCATCTGAGAGGTTTTATGATGGGAACAGTAAGAAACGTATTTCAAAGAATATTCAGTAACATGACAAAGCACAACCGGCTGTTACATGTAATGAACATGTAACTTCACACACAGTCACCTGAATTTTCTGTAAAAATGTATATATATAAGGCCTGCCCCCCCAAAATCACAAAACATTAAAGGAGGTTATCTTTGGATGGTGAGATTGTGGGTGAATTTTACTTAATGTTTTTCTGCATTTCTAACGCTTCTATAATAAACGTGGATTGCATTTGTAGGGCTGTTTCTAAAGCTCTTAACTTTTTAAAGGGAAATAATGAGCATCAACATAGACTGTCTTCTCCCCCTGGGCGGCACCCTCCCCTGGGCGGCACACCTTCTGGGAGGCAACCCCTCTCCCCCGCCCCTGGGCAGCAGACAATGGGCTCAGGAAGCCCCTCTCCTTCCTCTGCAGCCCTCTGCTCCCGCCTCTGAGGACACGGCCGCTGGGAGGCACTCCCTGTGCTTCTCGGTGGGAACGGCCTACAGGTCCCTGAAATCCTCGGAGGGAAAAGTCGCCACCCAAACCTGCAGATAAACAACCTTGCCGCGCATGCCTGTCCACCCAGCAGCAGCGCGAGGTCCCCATGGAGGCTGACTCACGGGCAGGTGGGGGGTGGGTGACTCTCCTACCACTGGTGTCAAACCCTGTCACCCACATAGCAACCAGCGCTCCGTTCTCTGCAGGAGCACGGACGGTGCAGGGGGGGCGACGGGTGGGGGCAGGGGTGTGCTGTGCAGGAGACTGTGTTTGTTGTTCTGGAAACCGAAAGCTGCCTTAGATTAGGTGCAAAATCAAACATGCAAACAGCCACCACTCCCCCCATCCATCAGCTGAAAGGGACAGGAACGCTGAAGCAGCCGAACCAGGGGGCTGTGACCCAGAGAATCTCTCCAAAGCGCTATGGTCAGCAAGTCCCACAACCATCATGGAAACCCGGTGACCCCATTTCTCCGACCCCGTTTCTTCTTTCCATTTCGGGAAAATGTACATGTTTTGACCTTAAAATTTAAGGCCAGTGAACCTCGGTAGGAAACAGATTTTAAAATGCCACCGCAAACACCGGTGCCTCATGGGAACAGATGGAAAGTGTAGCCCAAGAGCAATCTGGGAGTTACTGCACTTCCCACAAACACTTAGGGCTGCAGAGAAAGGGCTGAGTCCGGACACATCATTGGTTTTTGTTTGTTTGCTTGTGTGCAGGCCTCGCAGAACAGGCACTCTCCAGGGCCACACCTCACAGGGCTCCCATGACTTCTGGGGAGTTCCCAGTCTCCCTTCATACTGGGAAAGTGTTTGCTAAGGGGAGGAAATCCCCCTAGAATTTTCCTTAGAAATGTCTACAGCTTCCCTGCCTTCTGTGTCCCCGGCCCCGGGCATCTGCCCATGTATTTGGTCCCGGATGACATTCATCCATCTGTCCCTCCATCTCAGCCTGTCCCGTGATGGATATCACCTGCTGGGGAGGAGGCTCTGCCACATACTCCCCGGCTGCAAGGCCTCGGGCCATTTAACATCCCATGGCCCATTTCCTCTGCTGGAAAAAGCGAAATACGCACACCTCGCAAGAGTACTGTAAAAACTAGAGATGATGTGTGAAGCACTTGGCACATAGTAGGTGTTCAATAAATGGTGGCTATAATGGTGAAACAGAGGCAGGGACACAGAAGGGACAATGGAAGCCGGCTGATGCCCCTCTTGGGAGGGTCCCAGGCAACATGAACATTTGTCAAACAAAAGGGCACGTCCAAAGGACTATGTCAGAGCCAGCAAGGCCCTCAAAGGCCATCGAGTCAGCGCCCTGTTTTATAGAAGTCCAGAGGGACAAAAGCACATCCCGAGGCCAAAAGCCCCCGTTACAGTTCAGGTCCCCAACTGCCAGTAGAGGAGCTCATCCCTGTGAGGGGCACATACCGGGCGGGCCAGGGCCATGGTCACAGCGGCCCACACAGCACACGCGTGGGCTCTCCGTGTACACACCCACACTGACAAGGCCCGGGCCTTCTCCATGGGCAGGTATGTGTCTTGTCTTTAACACACAGCTTCTCCGAACACTGACAAGAGGTCAGTGAATTACAAATACTCACCAGATCACCTGCCACCTTACAAACTCGAGTCTCTCTCCTGACCCCCGCCTCACAAGCCCTCTTCTCTTAGTGCTCCACATGGGGCAGAGGGGGTGGTGGCGCCAACATGGGCATGGGACGGGGAGTGCCCACGTGTGTGCAGGGGGCATAGGGCAGGGCACTGCTTCTCTGGGGCAATCAAAAGGGAGGGCTGGAAAGGGTCTGCTCTGACACTGGTGAGATAAATGTCTACACACCAGCCAAATCCAGTTTCCTAAGAATACTCAACGCAGGGAGAATTCTGAAGCCATAACATTAGCAGGAAGAATAGGACACAGCTCCATCTCGTTTCCTGCCTCTAATATTTCAGCAGGTGACTAGATACGGACGTGCATGAACTGCTAGAAGGCAACGCATGTGGACAGTTGTCATCACTGGACTGATGGCTAACAGGCTTTTAAAAAATATTGCCTGAATTTTCTAGAATG